GGCCATATCCAGCATCATGAGCCAGTGTATGATGTGTGAGTGAGTCAGTGGTAGTGTGAGTGAGTGTATGATGTGTGAGTCAGCGTATGATTAGTGAGTCAGTATATGATGTGTGAGTCAGTGGTAGTGTGAGTGAGTGTATGATGTGTGAATGAGTCAGATTATGATGAGTGAGTCAGTGTATGATGTGTGAGTGAGTCAGTGTATGATGTGTGAGTGAGTCAGGCAGTCGACGAGATGTTGGCTGCAGACATAATTTCCCCGTCAAACAGCCCGTGTGGGGTTTCCATTGTCCTGGTCAAAAAGCAGGATGTGAGTTTGAGATTTTGGGTCGACTTCAGGAAATTTAATAAGGTATCCGTGGCTGATGCATACCCGCTCCCACGGATGGGTGATTCCCTGGATGCCTTATCGGGGGTTCGGTTCTTCTCCACCCTTGATTTATTATCTGGATTCTGGCAGTTGCCTTTGGTTGAAAGTTCTAAACCAAAGACTGCGTTTCGTACTCCGCAAGGGTTGTCTGAATTTAACCGCCTCCCGATGGGGCTCCATTCCAGTCCAGCCACATTCCAGAGACTCATAGAATTGGTGTTGGCAGGACTTCAACGGGACTCATGCCTAATTTATCTGGATGACGTCATTGTGTTTGGACGTACGTTCAAGGAACATCTGCAACGGTTGCGTGCAGTTTTTATTAAGATGCGGGCAGCCAATCTTAAATTTAAACCACAAAAATGCCACTAGTTACAAAGATTGGTTCGGTACCTTGGACACATTGTGAGCGAATCAGGGATAGCTACTGACCCTGACAAGACGGTGTGCGTGTGCACGTGGCCACCCCCAAGTCGGTGGGTGAAGTATGAAGTTTGGTCAGGTTCGCCCCTTATTACCGCCGGTTCGTACCCAGGTTTGCACCAATCGTGAAACCTCTCCACATTATCACGTCTAAAGGCCAAACATTTCTACGGGGGAAGGAAGAGGAAGAGGCATTTGTCACGCTGAGGGATGGGTTGGTCAAGGCACCTCCCCTCCGATACCCTCATTTTCCTTGCCCTTCATCCTGGACACGGACGCCAGTGACACCGGAATTGGCGCCGTGTTGTCTTAGGCTGTAAATGGAGTTGAGAATGTTGTGGCATATGGGAGTAGAGTATTGTCCCCAGCAGAGCAGCGCTACTGCGTGACGCATCGTGAGTTGTTGGCCATCGTCCATTTTATACAGCAATACCGTCCATACCTCTATGGCAGAGAATTTGAGGTACGCATGGATCATGCGTTGCGGGTCAAACAACCATCTGGGCAGCTCTCTCGGTGGCTAGAGGTCCTCCAGGACTACTCGTTTAAAGTCTCGTATAGAAAAGGTGTTCGCCACGGTAATACGGATGCATTGTCATGGCTGTCACCAAAGAACCAGTGTGCATGTCTCACGGGTGCGGTGCGGTGTAAACCCGCGGAGACAGGGTTGCTTCAGACTGTTGTGACGTCAGGGGATGTGTCTCGATACTGCTGACGCATGTGACAATACTATCAGCCTCACGCACACTGAATGGGGGCGACTCCAGGCGGAGGACGCCTCCTTATTGAAACTGAGGCACCGCGTCGAGAGTGTTGAGAGTGAGAAGAGCCAACAAGGGTTGTCCCCTATGATTCTCAAAGGCGGGTTATTGATGAGATGGGATGGAGAGATTCAATGCTATGGCCTTGTGGTGCCCATTGTTCTGGGGGGTCGGGCCACACACTAACGATTGATACACCTAGGAGTGCAGAAAAGATTGTCAACCCTCAGACTCGATTTCTTTTGGCCTGGAATGTCGGGGGATGTTTACAATGTGTTAAAAGGGTGTGTGGAATGCGCTCGCCGAAAGCCCCTGCAGAAAATAGGACGTCCACCCCTGGAATCTATTGCTGTGTCCCGGATAAAAGAACTCGTCGCGCTCGACATTCTCGGCCCGTTCCCCACCACCCCACGGGGTAATAAATATTTATTGGTGGGGGTAGAGTATCTTTCTAGCTGGCCGGTGGCCTGGCCGCTGCCAGACCAGTCAGCTGTGGCCATTACTCAAGCATTCCTTCACGGCTATATGTTAGTCCTTACGGACCAAGGCAAAAATGTATCATCAAAACTGTTGAAGGAAGTGTATGATCTGTTGGGCACCAAGAAGGTTCATACTTCACCCTATCACCCACAGACTGATGGGATGGTGGAACAGTTACACAGCATCCTGACATCTATGTTGTGTCAATAAGTCAACAAAGCCCAGTCAGACTGGGACTTGCACATTTCGGGTGTTCTCGCCACCTATAGAAGGGCCCCTCACGCTTCTACCGGGTTCTCACCGTTTTTTCTTACGATGTACAATTGAACGCTGAGTCAAAAAGACAAAAGTTTATATGCCCGGCTCTATGCGTCTTACCCTTATGCTTTTGTTGGAGGCATGAGAGGCTTCTTGAGAAAATTCAGTCTTGCGCCAGTCAGCAAACGAAAGGCTAAGGAGGCTTCAGGAATCGACAACTAAATGGGAACTGGGGGATAGGGCTTGGTTACACTTCCCCCAGGTACTGGTGGGTACCTCCCCAAAATTGTCGAATTGATAGAGGTGAAGCGGCCGAAATGTGTGCGGATTCAGTTCGGTCGCCGGCATTGGTTCGTGCATCCAACGGCGACTGAAACCGTTTTTCCCACCGGGCGAGATCTCTTCATCCCCACTAACCAACGGTCGGGTGTCTGGTGTGTCCGACCCGCTGGGGCGTGTGTCCGCGGAGGTTGTCTCAGGGGAGTTCTGGTTTTTCGCCCACAGGGTCCCAGCATCTAGCACCCTTGGAGCCACCGGTTGCACCCACAGGAGGTAGATTGAGGAGAGGGGAGCAGCCATCACACACTCCTTCTCCTCCTGTTGATTCCCCGTCGTCTTCTCGGGAGGTCCGGTGACAAGGACCCGTTCAAGGACCGCCCGCTTCAAATAACTTTCTTCCAATGTGCAAACTACCCCTATGCCATCTGTTGGTGGTCAAACTCGCGAGCTGGATGGGTCATTGGCTGATCTTGGCCCTTCTTGTGCTCGCAGGTGGTGACACGCATATGGGGGTAGGGTTGGGCTTTTGTCTGGAGGTTGGGTCGGTTTTTTTACTAACATTTTTTTCTCTCCCCTTCTCGGAAATTGTATATATTGTATTTATTGCTCGGTCAGCGGTTGTTATTACACCTTTACATTTTTGGGAGGCTTATTTCTGGGGTTGAGGATAGTTATGAGCTGGGACGGCTGTGTTTTATAAAGGGGGGGGGGGGGTGATGTAGTGACGTATATTGAGTCACTTCGCCCTTAGTGCCAGCTACTGAGAGATGAGTGCAACTGTGTGTATTACAGTCTCTCTCTGATAACCGTTGATGTGATAGGTGACGAGAAGGGCAGGTGGTGGAACGCCCCAGAACTCTCTGGGCATATCCAGAAGGGGGCGTGGCTGAGGGCGGAGCAAGGCCATGCTCAGGGGATAAAAAGGGGGTTCTGGGAGCAGAATGGGGCTGTCTGCTGGAATCATCCCATTGGGCTACGTCGCTTCGGTCTTCGGTCGTTACGTTCGACATCGTCAGTAATTAAAACTAGCTTCATCAGGCGAAAGTCTGATGTAATTACTGGTGAAATGTCGTACTCCGATTGTAAATGTTGTGGCTTGGCTCTCCAACATACCGGTGTGCTGTACTAGTGACGAATTGGCATGTTCTATTTACTTTACAACCCTTACTCGTTGGCTATGTCGAGTGATGGCGGGTTTTAACGACACATTTATATAGTTTACGCGATCTAAACCAAACAAAAACCTATTATGGCTTTTGTTAACGTGGCACCAAGCTATGCCACTTGAAATCAGACAATCAGAGTCGGTAGTCTGCTTTGAAAACCCATCTCTTTAAAATGGCCTTCACTCTTGATTTAAAGATTTCGTGACTGCAGGAATCCATACTCTTTGGTTCTTTCGGTAAAGTCACGTAGTTAGAAATAAAATAAAATAAATCACGTTTCGATCGCAACACAAGCGGTCGTCATCAGGCAAAGGGGTCAGCCTCTAAAGGCAAACTGTTTATAAGGGTTTGGAGATGGGCGTACAACGAAAGAGTATGGCCTTCACTCTTTATTTTGGTCGGTTGCCCTGGTTCTGTTTTAATTTACAACTTTTCATGCGTTGGGCATTGTGATCATAGGATGGAATGCGCATCATCATTTGAATTATTATGACCCGCCCCTTACCCCCATCGCCCCGCCCCTTACCCCGCCCGTTCATCATCCGGGCTCCCGCGCTGTGTCCGCTACGTCACGATTGAGGGTTAGGGGTCACAATCCGAGTCGCCAGGCCAAGAGATCGAGAGGTGAGCGAGCGTGAGATAAGAGTGGGGGGTGAGAGAGAGTGAGGCGTGAGAGGGTGAGTGTGAGAGAGAGGGTGAGTGTGAGAGAGGGTGAGGTGTGAGAGAGGGTGAGGTGTGAGAGAGAGTGAGGCGTGAGAGAGTGAGAGAGAGTGAGGCGTGAGAGGGTGAGTGTGAGAGAGGGTGAGTGTGAGAGGGGGTGAGAGAGAGTGAGGCGTGAGAGAGGGTGAGTGTGAGAGAGGGTGAGTGTGAGAAGGGGTGAGAGAGAGGCGTGAGAGAGAGTGAGGCGTGAGAGGGTGAGTGTGAGAGAGAGGGTGAGTGTGAGAGAGGGTGAGGTGTGAGAGAGGGTGAGGTGTGAGAGAGAGTGAGGCGTGAGAGAGTGAGAGAGTGTGAGGCGTGAGAGGGTGAGTGTGAGAGAGGGTGAGTGTGAGAGGGGGTGAGAGAGAGTGAGGCGTGAGAGAGGGTGAGGTGTGAGAGAGGGTGAGTGTGAGAGAGGGTGAGTGTGAGAAGGGGTGAGAGAGAGGCGTGAGAGAGAGTGAGGCGTGAGAGGGTGATTGTGAGAGAGAGGGTGAGTGTGAGAGAGGGTGAGTGTGAGAGGGGGTGAGAGAGAGTGAGGCGTGAGAGAGCGTGAGAGAGGGTGAGTGTGAGAGAGGGTGAGGTGTGAGAGGGTGAGGTGTGAGGGGGTGAGGTGTGAGAGAGGGTAAGTGTGAAGAGAGGGGATTGCATGCTTGTGAGGAGCGGTAGTGCAGCGGTTTTCGCGCTGCGTTACGAACCGGGCAACCCGAGTTCGATTCCCGTTCACGCCTAACACCGGTGACAATCTGAACCGGTCCTGGGCCTCGCCTAGGTTGACTCGGCCTCAAATGAGTACAGCACCTGGGGCGGTGAGTAAACATCGCCACTCGGGAGACAAAGGCGGCCGAGCTTGGTGCTGGCCACCCACCCCCTCGTGGGCCGTGCCGTCCTTCATGAGGTGCTCGCTAACAGCACTTGCCCCAACAGTGTTAAATCCATACGGGGGGATCTTTGCTAGTTTAAACAATTAAATAGCTGAAATAAAGTACTCAACTTTGTTAAGTGTTCAGTTCTATTGCACTGTCAACCACTCATTCTTGGGTCCTTGGATACATTTCTGTTTATAAATATGAAGTATGGGAATTGACGGCAGGAACTTCTTGACGGGAACACACTTTTTATTAAATCTTTACGTGTCAAAATACAACGTGTAGTCTCCTTTCTTCCGACTTCACACTCCACTACTCTCGTGTAAACTCTAGGCCTCTGGCTACACACGATACCCTTCACTCGTGTAGACCCTACGCCTCTGGCTACACAATACACTCGACTCGTGTAGACCCTATGTCCCTGGCTACACAATACACTCGACTCGTGTAGACCCTATGTCCCTGGCTACACAATACACTGCATTCGGCTCGTGTAGACCTTACGCCTATGGCTACACACACTACACTCGCCTCTGGGTTACACAGAGTCCCGGTCCCGTTAGGACAGCGGGACTAGGTACCGCAGGGCCCTAGGTCTTCATCCCCGTCTTCATTCTTCGCTGGTTACACACTGCCCTCACGCCTGTGTGCATCCCCTTTTATAGCCCCTGCTCACGAGAGGCGGAGCTGATGCGTACTTCAACGTGAGCATCGCTCCTTAATGAACCAATCACGACGCACTCTCTCTACGATCCGTTTTCCCCAGCGCGTGTTAACACTCCTCCACCAATCACACCGCGCTGCCACCCGATCACTCCCTCTCAGCACGTCACCGGTCCACAGCCAATCAGTACCCCGTAACCCACGACCCCGCGCTGACCCCTGATCCTCCACCGTCAGCGCACGTCACCACCTACACAGCCAATCATTACGCGCTGGCATACGATCTCTAATCCCAGCGCGTATCACCTCTACATCACCCCCTCCCACATAGCTTGCAGCCGGCCCGGCTGTTAACCAACAACACAACCTAACGTCAATGCAGTAACAAAGAAACTCCACCTCTCAGTGTGCCCCGTAACGCAACAACAACAACACAACACAACACTTAAATATGAAGCAATATACAGCCCGACGAACAACACAATAAAAGCGAACACCGGAAAACGAACACAATAAAAGCGAACACCGGAAACCGAACGCGCCAAGTGTCTCTGTGACTAAACGCAGTGCCGAGGCGCTCCGGCTGCCTCGACTCCTCACGTGGCAGGTCACACAAAGTAGCGCGACCTAGCGCGAGTCCGTCTGGCCGGTCCGTCGTATGGGACGGGACGTTGGCGACCGTCCGGTGGCTCCGGCCGCTCAAGATCCGGCCGCCGGTGGTCGGCAGCTGTCAGTTCCGAGACACCTGGGAGCGGATCAGGCGGAGACATGTGAGGAGCAGGCAAAGACAATTCCCCCTTAGGGTCGCTGGTCACGTCACATGCTCGGCCCTCATGACACAAGGGGAGGCCATACGGAGGCGAGAACGGTTTCAGTCGGGAGGGGTGGACGTACCAACGGCGTTTTCCCCATTTTATCTGAACGCACTGGGGGCGTGCAACCCGCACGACCTCCACGGGTCCCCGCCACAGCTTCAACAATTTAGGCGACGTAGCCAAAGGTGCCTGCGGGCAATGCAGCCAGGCCCTGTCACCTGGTTCCCAATTGTGCACGGACACCTTCCGTGCCCGCAACCGCTCGTTTGCAATTTGGCGAGCCCGTGAATTAAGCCGTGCGGCCTCCCTTGCCTCTGTCAGCTTATGAATATTAAATTTAATATGCTCTGCCAATTTCGAATTTGCCCGTGGTGCGGACAGACCCAGCTGCGTTTCCATGGGCGGGTCGGCTTCCCGACCGTACATCAGATAAAACGGGGAAAATCCCGTAGCTGCATGGGGGGCCATTCTATACGCGGCGAGGACCCCAGGGACCTGCAGGTCCCAATCAACATGCGCCTCACACACCTGCTGGCACAACATAGAAGTCAATGTCCTGTTAAGCCTCTCCACCATCCCGTCCGTCTGCGGGTGGTACGGGGAGGTACGCACCTTCTTGGTACCCAACAGGTCGCACACCTCTTGCAGTAATTTACTCGAAAAATTCTTCCCTTGGTCAGTCAGCAAGCGTTCGGGAGCCCCCTTGTCCAGGACGTAGCCCTGGACAAAGGCGTCCGTCACAGCCGCCGCCGACTGGTTGGCGAGTGGCCACGCCATAGGCCACCGGGTAAAATATTCGACCCCCACCAACAGGTACTTATTACCCCTAGGCGTGACCGGAAAAGGCCCCAGAATATCGAGTGCAACGAGCTCGTTAGTGCGCGAGACCTGGATGGATTGCAGCGGTGGATTAGCTGGCACAGGCGGTGGTTTCCGTCTGGCGCACTCAACACAACCCTTCAGAATATTCACCACGTCACCCCCCATTCCCGGCCAATAATAGTCACGCTGAAGCAGGGCAAGCGTTTTGTTAACTCCCAAATGCAAGAGGCGTTCGTGTGCGGCCAAGACAACCTTCCCCCTCACAGCAGCAGGCACCACAATCGCATGCCGCCGGGACAAACTGTCCCATCTCATCAATAGGCCTTGCTTAAGCTCGTAGGAGCCAGTTCGGTCGTGGTTACCTTCGGAACCCCCCGTCTTGCGGCGCAATGCCAGCAGGGAGCTGTCCGCCATTTGGAGACGGCCCCACTCAATCAATGACATTGAGAGCAGCGAGTCCTGACCCCCAGGGGTAGCGGGACCATCCCCAATTGGTGTGCTCGCGGCCGCAACCAACGCCTCCCTACCTTCCGTAACCGGCGGTTTACAGCGCGCCGATCCCGATAAGCACGCACATTTGTGACAAGGCAACAACCGCGACAGGGCATCGGCATTTGTGTGTCGCAAGCCTTTACGGTACGTAGTCGTGAACTGATAGTCCTGGAGGACTTCCAACCACCGCGACAATTGGCCCGAGGGCTGGGCGACCCGCAATGAATACTGGAGCGCCGCGTGGTCCGTCCGGACCGTGAAATGACGGCCATAGAGATATGGCCTGAATTGTTGTACAAAAAAAACAATGGCAAGCAGTTCGCGACGGGTGACGCAGTAGCGCTGCTCTGCCGGCGACAACACCCTGCTACCATAGGCGACCACCCGTTCGACCCCTCCAACGACTTGGGACAGCACTCCCCCAATGCCCGTGTTGCTAGCGTCCGTGTCTAGCAAGAAGGGACTCGCGAAGTCCGGATAGCGCAAGGGTGGGGCCCTAACCAAGGCGTCCCGGAGGGAGCAGAATGCAGCCTCCTCCTCCGGTCCCCATCGGAACTTCACTCCTTTCGCCGTTAGAGCGTGCAAGGGTTTTGCAATGGTGGCAAAGTGCTCAACGAATCGGCGATAATACGAAGCAAAACCGATGAAACTGCGTACGTCTGACACTGACGTGGGCGTTGGCCACGAACTGACACAGTCCGTCTTCGCAGGATCGGTGGAAATCCCCGAAGAGTCGACAATGTGACCCAAGTACCTCACGGATTTACGAAAAAGGTGGCATTTGGCCGGTTTAAACTTTAATTTAGCCGATCGCATTCGCAAGAACACCCCCCTCAATCGCTGGAGGTGTTCTTCAAACGTTTTACCGAAAACAATGACATCGTCAAGGTAAATGAGGCACGTATCCCACTGCAAGCCCGACAAAACCAATTCCATAAGACGCTGAAACGTCGCCGGAGAGGAGTGAAGTCCCATGGGTAACCGGTTAAACTGAAACAGGCCCCCTGGAGTCCGAAATGCGGTCTTAGGCTTAGACTCTTCGTCGAGTGGCAACTGCCAGAATCCGGATAATAAATCAAGAGTCGAAAAGTATCGCGCACCAGACAATGCGTCGAGAGACTCGTCCATCCTGGGGAGCGGATACGCGTCGGCCACAGAGATCTTATTCAGGCGACGGAAATCGACGCAAAATCGCAGGGACCCGTCCTGCTTTTTAACGAGCACGATAGGCGCTCCCCAAGGACTGGAGGAAGGCGAAATAATGTCGGCTTCTAGCATATCGTTAACTGCCGACTGAACATGTTCCTTCTCAGCAGGACTCAGTCGGAAGGGATTTTGCCTGACCGGTGCCGCATCGCCCGTTTCAATGTGGTGGCGTAGCAGGTCCGTGCACCCAATGTCATACTTATGTTTACTGAAGACATCCGAAAATTCAATGAGCAACCCGCGCAGCGCACCCAACTGTACCGCTGATAAATCGTCAGAGTCCGCGCACAGCGAATCAACCCAATCGAGGTCCTCCTTCAATGTAACGTTTTTCGTGGGACTCGGATCCGCCTGCGCAACCAGCCTCTCCTCCGCAGGGACCCGCGCCGCGTGAGCTAGCACGGTGCCCTGCTGAATGACGGCCGGCCGCGCCCCAGCGTTTAAAACCATCACAAACGGATCCCTGTCAGCCCCCACCAAAGTGTGAGCCACCGACAAATCAAGACCTCCAACAGCCCTATTAGAAGGACCCAAAAGCATGCCCTGTTCCGAGGCCTCCTTCACCCATGGCTTCCGCAACCGGAGGGGAATTAACATTTGTGAACCCGGAGGCACGTGCACGGTCTGTGTCGCTAACGCCTGTATGGTAGCGCACGCCGTCCGAATTTCATTAGGGCTCGTCAAAAATGAAATACGGCGACCCGATGGTAGTTCAATGCAACGCTGATCAATGAGAATTTTGATGGGCATTTTTGCCAAAAAATCAGTGCCCAATAGACAAGGGACCGCCAGGGAGGACGAAACAAAAACGGGTCCCGACAATTTGATATCACCAATGCAAATGGATGCCCTAATCTGACCGATAATGCCCAACGATCCCCCGTTAGCGGCGTAAAATGGCACATCCACCGGAAGAAGCGGACGACATTGTACAGGGAGAATATTATAAATGAGATCCGATATAATAGTCGCCGATGCCCCCGTGTCCACTAACACCCTGACCTCGACCCCATCAATAGATCCGGTAACTACGGATGAACCCGCTGAGGCAGCCACTATTCTGTGCCCCAACTCCGACCATTTAATGTCTCCCCGGTCCCGGCCGAATCGCCCTCTCTGAACCGAATCCCCGAACTCTACTCGGCTCTCCCCCGCCGCAACGCGACGACCCATATGTGCCGAGTATGCGGGCCGAGCATGTGAGGTGCCGCGACTTGCCGGGGTTTGCAGGGACGACTTGGGGCCTTGGTCGTCGTCCAGCCGAGGTCCCATGGCGCGCTGACGTGGGGCGCGGCAACCGGAGGCCACGTGGCCCCGGAGGCCGCAGTTATAGCAGGTGATGACAGTCGTCGGAGATCTCGGTTGCTCCAGCTTGCGGGCCGCTCGCAGAGGCGAACGACCCCCCGATCTCCAGTCCCCCGGTCGTCCCGCGATGAACGCCTCCTCTCGTGGGCTGACGACTTGGGGCACGGTGACAACTGGTCCCGGAGTTGAGGCCACGGCAGCGTTGCAGACGACTCCCTGTTTACGTTGAAGGACCTCGTGCGCTTGTATGCTTGTGGCGACCCGTAAGGATGAAATATCGGTCTCATCGGCCGTGTTGATGGGGACCCCCAGGTCCTGCGCCAACTTGAGCAGCTGCTCCAAAACCATGGCATCTTGGCCCTCCTCGTCCATACGAGGGAACGCGGCGTCGGCGAGAGCAAGCAACGCCGTGCGGTAGGCGAGCACGGTCTCCGTGTCCGCCTTCCGTCTTGCATAAAAATGATGGCGGCACGCCGAGGGAGGACCATAGACCTTGGCCATGAGAGCCAGCGCATCCTTGAGCGTGGAGCGGTCCGACCTGCGTGCGGACGTGAAGGCCGCGAGCGCGTTGTCATCCAGCATGGCAGGCAGTGCCCGCAGTGCCGTAGCGTCGGACCAGGCGGACATCTCCTGATGCGCCAAAAATCTGCGCTGAAATTGGCTCCAATCCCCGCCTTCCGCCTTGAAGGCTGACAACGTGGGAAGGCGCTGCTGAAAGATGAAGTCGTCCTCCTCCTCGTGCTTCCTCTCTGCCGCCCCGTCGGTGTGTAAGATGGCGGCCCCCTCGGCGGGTGTGTGATGGCGGTCCGCCGCGCGCGTTGGTGACGTCAGCGGGCGCGCATGGAGAACCGCTGCCACGTGGTGATGGCCGTTCCCGCCAAAAGTCGGTGCAGATGAAATGGCGGCCATCGCCAAATCGTTTTGGCGGGAATCTGCAGGGCGACCCTGCAGAACGTCGGCCGCCGTTCCCGCTCCTCCCGACGAGCTGATCTCCGCCAGGATGGACGCGGCGGCGAGCAGCAGCTCCGCCAGACGGGAGTGCGCTTCGCGAAGCACGGCATCAGTCCCCCGTCGCTCGTCCGGCGCCGTCGGCGGATCCTGCCCCGTGGGCAACTCCTCTTCCTCACCCCCCGATGCCAGCTGGCCCGCGTCGTCGAGGTTGTCCCCGTGGTCAATCCCGTGGGTCCGACGGTTCCTCCTTGTATCCATGCTTGGAAGACCGTTTCACTTCTGACGCCAGTTGAAGTATGGGAATTGACGGCAGGAACTTCTTGACGGGAACACACTTTTTATTAAATCTTTACGTGTCAAAATACAACGTGTAGTCTCCTTTCTTCCGACTTCACACTCCACTACTCTCGTGTAAACTCTAGGCCTCTGGCTACACACGATACCCTTCACTCGTGTAGACCCTACGCCTCTGGCTACACAATACACTCGACTCGTGTAGACCCTATGTCCCTGGCTACACAATACACTCGACTCGTGTAGACCCTATGTCCCTGGCTACACAATACACTGCATTCGGCTCGTGTAGACCTTACGCCTATGGCTACACACACTACACTCGCCTCTGGGTTACACAGAGTCCCGGTCCCGTTAGGACAGCGGGACTAGGTACCGCAGGGCCCTAGGTCTTCATCCCCGTCTTCATTCTTCGCTGGTTACACACTGCCCTCACGCCTGTGTGCATCCCCTTTTATAGCCCCTGCTCACGAGAGGCGGAGCTGATGCGTACTTCAACGTGAGCATCGCTCCTTAATGAACCAATCACGACGCACTCTCTCTACGATCCGTTTTCCCCAGCGCGTGTTAACACTCCTCCACCAATCACACCGCGCTGCCACCCGATCACTCCCTCTCAGCACGTCACCGGTCCACAGCCAATCAGTACCCCGTAACCCACGACCCCGCGCTGACCCCTGATCCTCCACCGTCAGCGCACGTCACCACCTACACAGCCAATCATTACGCGCTGGCATACGATCTCTAATCCCAGCGCGTATCACCTCTACAAATATAACCCCCACTTCTCAAACCACATCGCACTTCCATCGTCTATTCCATGCGCATGTATATACGAATTATATGTTGATTGAACTATTGAGCTTGAGCAATATTCGACCTGCTCACAGAAGTGGTATTATTTAAGGTTGTTATCCAGTGTACCCAACGAAGAAGCAACTGACACAACCCCCCGTATGTCAAATACGCGGTGCTGCTCTGGCACACTTTGCCATCTCGACTGCCGTCTGGGCAACCTGCCCATTAAACCAGTATTGGAAGTCCATTTTTCCAGTGATTTACAGTGTAGTACAGTACTGTGAGAAGCCACGCTGAGTTTCAAGAGTCCTGTCAAGTTTTCACAGTAGGGGGCGATATCTCAATTAAGTAACTTTGAGGTATTTTTTCTTCTTTTGATCCCATTGAGATGTGTTGGCGAATGCCGGATATGTTGCATGCATTTTTAGCTGTGGGGGTAAACTGGAGCCCCATGCACAACAGGGGGGGGGGGGGGAAACATACAAACCCCACACAAGGCACTGGAGTCAGGAATCAAGACCCATTCCCTTTTTACTGCGAGACGAAAGTTGCCACTGCGACACCCTGCCACCCAAAAATGTGAAGCACATTCACATTTCTGGCTGTCACTCATTCCTCATTCATTCAATCCATAATTTTCTGTCATTAAGTTCGTTTTCACCGAATTCACCCATCACCACCACAACTTATCCCCATTGATTCCTCTCAAATATTGTGTTCACCTCATGACCATTACATCCACACATACCAATCTTAATTCTCTGGAAAGCGCCTTGGTTAACGTGCTATATAATTCCGTGAAGGTAAAAGATGTACTAATGTTCTGTGTCTGTCTTCATGACTCGATTTGGTCCCCCCAGCACCCAGACTGGCTTGCTCCAGATGGGAATTAGTCACTACGTGAGACGGGCCATGGTGCGCGTGGTGTCATCTCGCTGGTACCAGCTGCTGTGCCTCGCCATTGCGTCGCTCGCCGTCTTTGGATTCTACTACTTTGCCGGTGGGCAAGAGAGCTTCTCCAGCGCGACCCGCAAGCTCATGCTGCAAGCCAACCACGGAAAGGCCGGCGGCGATCATGTCGGCAGCCACAGTGGGGGCCAAAGCGGCATGCCTGTTGTTGGCGCTTCAAAGACCGATGGACCCGTGTTGAAACCCCAAATGGATGAGCAGTTTCAAAATGGCAAAAGCCGTGGTGAGGATAACGTTCGCGTGCCTTTGGTTGAGGAACCTACTGGTTTTAAAACAAGTAAGGCACAGCAGTTGGGTCCCACAGAGTACCACGTGTTGATGATGTTCACCAAGGTGAACCAGAAACATGATCTCCAAGAAAAGTTCAAGATATTTATGAAATCATTGGTGATGCACTCACACTTTGAAGGTAAATCGCATTATATTGACATACTATATATATTTCGATTTGTCATTGTTGTTCACTTTAAGCCTTATTGAAATGTAAATGATTTGGTGATACTGCATTGGCGGTGGTGCGCAAGCACACATCTCAACACGTTCGTCAATAACTGCCGTCAAAGGAAAAGTTAATGTGCAATCAAGATGAGCCATTGCCTGAAACATTGTCTATTATATACATTCCCTTTCATAGCAGTGTCATAGATGAATTATTTTTGTTGTTTATTGGAATACAGTTAAATAAACATGACATTACATTCTGAAGTATAATTACACTGCCTTGCAGGTTGGAGGAGCGGATTAAGATAGAGCAAACTCGCAATATACGACACAATTAGTCATCTTGTGTTTTACGGATGGTTGCAGATGATGGGCCTTGGTCAGGAAACAAACATTTTCTATCTTTACCCAGTGCTCCACTAGGCTGAGAGGTGTATTTCCAAGATAAATGTAAGACATAGATGTATTCATAATAGTTTAAAGATCTAGCCAAATATGAGAGAAGTGAGACATACAAGGCTGTGCAATTGCAGCACCGGAAAGTTGTGTGCCTTTCCAGAACTAACGGTTATGTCACCCTAAGATAGTCTACATTGGTACTGTCGCTACGACCATGACTACTGTTCCCATAAACGTAATTCTTAAGTTCGTCCACCTTTGTTCAGGACTCGGTCTACCAGATTGATTGTTTCACCTCCCTGTCATGTTCAACCACCACGCTGCAGGTCGCAACAACACACTCGTCCACTAACCCACTCACTCGCCCACTTCCTCACTTGCACACCTCCTTATTGACCCACACACTCATCCACTCTAACCAATTACAAATGTAATAGTGCTCTTTGTTGCTTACCGTTTGATATTTTGGGAATCGGGAATAATAAAAATTTATAGGGTGTACATATTTCACGAATTGGACATATTCAATCGGAAATTCGGAGGCGTGGGGCCAGAGTTCAGCCCCTCGTATGCAGCCTGAAAATGTGCGAGCCTTGAGTTGCTGCTTGAATGCATATGCGCAGTGGGAAAGAGTGCCAGATGGCTGCTCGTGCAGCACCGAAGAAACGCTGCTCAACCGGTATCGTGCTGGTTGTGGGCACCATGAACAGATTGACGGTTCTCCGTAGGAAGTGGCTGTTTGCTGTGGTCAGTAGAGTTGGAATGGTGAAGAGGTATGATGGGAGACCTTGAAAAGGATAGTGATGTTGTACTGCATCTTTGAGTTGATGTGGAGCCGGTTCAAGTTTTTTGGGAAATGCTGCAGTTTGTTGAGGTGTTTTTCTGATGGAGGATGTGTTTTTGTAATCAAGGCGGGTGCTGATAATGCTACACACCATCGTGTTTGCTGTGGCTGTAGTCAACATTGGGTGGTGTGTTCCATTTGGCCCTGAGATGATGATTGCATCTCTCTGTCGTTTTGAGGATGTGGTTGTCAAAGGTAACACTGAGGATATTAAAAATTTTTATACAAATTATGGAATTTGATAATTAGTTTGTTTCACTGACTGTAAGAACAATGTATGTATAACACATTTTTTGGACACCATTCTGATGTTGAATGCATTTATTTTCCTTTCAGAGAACGAATTACTTCATATGCACCTGGTCTGTGACGAGCCGAGCAGAGCCCTAGGGCAGAAGCTTCTCGATGCGTTCCTCGGGAAGGCTTCCTTTCATTCCAAGGTACATTTGGTTTAAAATAAAAATCAAATAGTTGCTCTACATGGGATGCACATGTGACTTCAGCCTGCTCAACTAAGATGTTTCTGTAATGTAACTTTATTGTGAATGCTTTATGTAACAATGCTTTTCCTGAGCCATTACAGGAAATGTATTTTATTTTAAATATATGTTTGTGCACTGTTTTGGATTTTTTATGTTCCGTGATTATTTTAGCTCTTATTTCTGTTTGGTTTCTACTCTGAATCGAATTGGTTGATTTTTGTTCCTATTTCTATTTGCTTCATCTGTGTACTTATTATTCATGGTATTCCTTTTGTAATTTTGACGACCCAGGTCAGTTAAAATTAGACTATCCTGCCCTCTTTGAGTTCTCGTCTGGTTAACAAAAATCAGCTTGCAACTGTCTTTAGCAAAGTCTCCCTACAAGTGATGTGTATTGACGTGTGTCTACAGGTGACTGTGCATGGTGTGGGACAGCTGGCTGAACAGCTGCATCCCATTGTGGAGCCAATGCAGAGCCACTTCAGTGCTGGCTCCGGATCTTACTTCAATGATGCCATCTTTTTTATGTCTGTTGCCATGCACCTCTTTATGCCACGAGGTGAGGGCAAGGGGAAAATGGGGCCTCAGTGCTACTTGTGTTGCCTCTCGATCCTGATGTGTGAAATGTTACAGCGTGCTCCGTAAACCCCCAACAACCAGCCTGGTGGCTCAACTGTTGAGCAAATGGCTCGAAATCATGAGGTTGTGAGTTCATATCCTGCTTGGAGGTTGACTCGGCCCATCATCCCCTCTGGGGTCGACAAAATAAGCACCACTATTTGGGGAAGTTATCTGTGGTTGCCCTATGGATAGGCTTTCCCCAGCCATAGGAATGTGGACTTTCTGCCACAGATTTAGTGCTGTAAACAGATGAGCACCACCTAAATGCTCATATAGGAAGGAATTCACTCTGAACAGAAGTCCCCATTAGACAAAGGTTTGCTTAAAGAATATTACTTCACTGATGTTAAGAATACATAGAAATTCCTCTTATCCATCCTCTTGTTTGTTAAGATTTCTATAAAATGTATTTGTGGCAGCAGGGTGGTGGCGCAATGGTAACTAAAAATTTAACTATATTTTATCAGGCAAGGCCCACTTAATTGTATAGCTCTTTTTTAGAAGCGACCTGGCCATCACAAATGATAGCTCAACGAAGTGGCTTATCATGTGGAAATTTATAGCAGCCAAATATTCGAAACGCATGTTTCTAAATGTGCACTTGCGCCACACAGCAAGAAGGGCCTCTTTCCAATTCCCAACTGGGGCGTCTTTCTGTGTGGGAACTCTATGTTCTCCTCCTGTTCTGTACAGTTTCCTCAAAGTTCTCCCAGTTTCCCTTCATAACTTAGCAAAAAAAGTCAATCCCGATAGAAATTTGAAAACGTACCCATACGTTACTTGCATAGCAAGCATCGCCCTTCACTGGCTGACTGATGTTCCATCGCCGAGTAATGGGGTGCCATGGTGGCGAGATGCTAACTCCCTCGTCTTGTATACAGGAGGTCGTGGCTTTGATCCTCCGACCCTGATGCCTTATAGTTGTAGCTTGCATGTCTTCCTATGGTAGTGTGGCTTTTTTTCCGGGTCCTCTGATTTTTCCCTCCACATTTAGAAACATGTGTTTCGAGTATTTGACTGCTATATATTTCAAAATGATGAGCCACTTGATTGAGTGATAATTTGTGGCCAGGTTGCTTCTGAAAAAGACCTATACAGTAAAACCTTGGATTGCGAGCATAATTCGTTCCGGAAACGTGTTCGTAATCCAAAGCACTCATATATCAAAGCGAATTTCCCCATAAGAAATAATGGAAACTCAGATGATTCGTTCCACAACCCAATAATACTGTATTCATATAAAAATTATTAATACAAAATACCTTTTTATATTTGTATTATTAAAATTAATATAAAGTAATCAAATTCATTCATTAAATATAATCGTGGCTGGTGTGAGGGAGACGAGAGAGAGGAGAGGAGGGTTATTGTGTAGGACGACTTTCACTTGCAGTACAGTTACTAAAGAACAGTCACTACACTTGGGCACAAAAGAAAAAAAATGCTTTACACACACACGTGGTCACAACACTATAGTAAACGGTATACGCTCGCACGGATGTTGACTATACGAGTGAGGCACGCCGACTGAGACCGAGTATGGGAGACGATTACCCACAATCCCGCAGCGAGAGAGAGAAGAACCATTGGCTCAGTTGTGATCACGTGATGCTCGGCAGACAGCGTATACTGAACGTACTACAGTACTCGTATTGCAAGACCTCGCTCGTTTATCAAATGAATATTTATAATTTTTCCTCGTCTTGCAAAACACTCACAGACCAAGTTAATCGCAATCCAAGGTTTTACTGTATAGCTTAGTGGGCCTTCCTTGGTAAAAAAAAATAGGTGTTGCATCATCTTTTGCGGCTCAGGGACAGCTACCAATAGGAGGCTCTGCTCTCTGAAAGAGAGAGCACAGTACACATGCAAGTTCATAGTAAGTGCAGATGTCATCCTGGCTCGTGTTGAGTTAATTTATGGCGGCTAGGAATGCATGCTCATGACAATGGATTGTGGCACACCAGACATTGTTTAGCAAGTGCAACTATTAACGACAGCAAGGGATTGTGGTAAAAAAAGCACAAGTTCGGTCAAAGTTTGATACTGCTGTTATATTTGGAGTGGAGTGGTGTTTGATCGTTCAGCACTCACCGATTAGCTCCAGTCAAAGGCTCACCAGCGGTTAATTGCCTCCTTATCACTGTTCTATCGCTGCTACCATGGTTACTGTTCTCGTGAACTTTATCGATAGACGCCTTAACCCATATTTGTATCCGATGTTATAACAAATTTCGAATGTTAATATGTTGCAGTTGGCAAAATGTTGCTTAATTGTTCATAAAAATTCAAACATTTGCCGTTTTACTTTCTCTGATTTCACTTAATTGCAAATTACTCAGTAGGGATTACACATTTCAACATCGCCCCTCAACTGGCAGACCGATGCCATTTTCAGTTTTCATTTCATTTATTTGGTATAGCCCTGTGAGCCATTCGGCTCTTGAATCGGGTGCAACTGCAACAAACAAAAAACAAAAACATGAACAAGAAAACATCTTAAAGTGACTATGCGCAAACAGAAAAATCCAGGAAAAAACTGCAAAAATCTTCCAGAAAAAGCACCATACACCAACACTCTGTGCAAAAATCCCAGTGGGATGCAAGTCAAACAACAACAATCACAAGACAACTTAGATTAAAGCCATCATTCTAACTCCGTACTACAACAAACAAACATGGCCAAACCAAAAAACTTATTCTAAATCACAAATAAAGCCATAAAAGCAATGTAACAGTGATCGTAGGAACTGTGACCGAAATTTCATAATAAACGACATAAACAACATGTACCACCAAAACCCTGTAGCCATAGCTGGCTGCATGAGTCACTCCACAACAGTAGGAGCATCAGTTTTGAGTATCAAAATTTTTCAATGCACCTTTAAAGATTAGCACACTAAATCAAAACACAACATCATACTTTGCCGCGGTCATCCGGAGCGAAACATTTTATTTAGGCCACTGAATAGCAGTGGCAGCTAGGGGTGTACAACTCCTCTAGAGCAGATTTGAGTGAAGATCTAATAGGTAGTGATTCAAGTTGCAGTTTATTGGCAATATTGACAACTTGCAGCTCAGCACACGGCAGATGCCTGCGCAGCGCGACTCACGACCTCCTCTTGATACCAAGATCCAGGATGGTCATGTCTATGCGCCGTTTCTCGGTGGCAGCCCCAACAGTTTGTTTGCAATGAGATGCAATTTAAGTCGCTTTTAAGTTGCTGAGGCAGTTAAATGCTGCGGTATAAATGCAAAGATGATTATTGTTATCAAGATTATAAAATAGGCTTTACACTTTCTGGCATGAATACAGGTGTTAGGATTCATCTTCTTGGTTCTTTAGGTAAAGTCACGTAGAAGGGAAATAATAAAATAATTACAATTAAATATAATAAAATACAATTGTATTTAATAATAAAATAAATACATAAAACATATTTCCCTTCTACGTGACTTTACCGAAATAACCAAGAAGATGAATCCCTGCAGTCACGAAAGCTTTAAATCGAAAGGTGTTAGGATGTTCAAACACCAAATAGCCACCTATTTTAAGGCATGCAGTCTGCGTTACCACACATACTTGTGATAAAACATTCAAACAAAATCGACAATGCAAACACCAACGCATCTATGGGTCCCATAGATATAACTACTGTTGCCAGTACTGTACAGTATTGCCAATAAATGGTCCCATGGATATGTCTGCTTAACCCGAGCTATTAACGTCCTTGTATCATTCACCTTTTGGTAGCCTTTGGTCTAGCACTGGTGAGACAAAGCCATCCAAAGAGGCTGTCTCTGGTGTAGGCCAATCAGTTTTAAGGACAATGCGTACATGATCAAAGCATATTTTGTTTGCATGTTTTACTACAAGCATGTGTGGTTAATGCAGACTCATCACCTCTGATTCGCAAGGTTAGCTACGTACGGCGCAAAAGAAGTTCAACATACATACGTTAACACCTTGTAGTAGGTGTCTATGTGGTGTTAGAACATCTTAACACCTCTGGTCTTTGTGACCAAAAGGGTAAAGCCTTTTTTATCTTGATACATTACTGGCAAAAATGGTCCCATAGATATTGTTATGTTTTGTCTTTTTCAAACAAACATTTTTCAAAGTTGACCATTTCCACCCTCCCCCACCCCCGGTTTGTGAACGACCAAGTAGAGATGGAGCGAATCGTGCAGCTGGATCTGGACTTGAAGCTCATGGCCAACATTCGCCTCCTCTTCTCCGAGTTTGATAAGTTTGGACCGGACGCTGTTATCGGCATCGCCCACGAGATGCAGCCTGTGTACAGGTGCACGGCATCGCAGAAACCAATATTCATCCACATTGTCAATTATGCAAGTATCGGTGAATACCGATATATGAACATCTTTAGAGGGATGCGGCCAAGGCTGAGCAGTCCTGATACCTTCTGTGGTCTACTGTCCCTGGCGTTGGCTAACGTATCCGCTTGGGATAGTCATCCTATTGGGTGACTTTAATTTCAGACTGGGTGATGATGTTAGTAGTTGGGTGGGTGGGAGTGGTTGGAAGGCCATGGGTCAGATCAGCTTAATAATAAGTGTAGGATCTACTAGATATCTGTACATGGGTTTGTAATCACCAACATGCTGTTCCACCTCTAACATTATTGGGTGCATTCTAAGCAAGGACATCTGCTGGACTATGTAGTAGCAGAACTGAATGTGAGCCCAAGTCATTGACATCAGGACCGACCGTGCAGCTGATCTCTCCACTGACCATCGGACTGTCATTCTTCCAGTGGTGGTGGGCGTCCACCTAGAACCCCATTCAAACCCACGCTAGCCTGGTATTCGTTAGTTGTTGAAATTTGCCTCCCATTTTTAAAGTGCAGATAAACCTTGCAATAATCATTAAACATTGCATGTCAAGAATTCAGGCAGAAAGAGGGAAAGCATTTCTGTGCGATGTCGTATTACATAATTGAATGTGCTGTATAAATTACTCAAATATAAATACACATTGCAATCATTGCCTCCTACCCACAGACTGACGCCTGCTCGCAGGCCGAGTGCCAAGTCACTTCACTACCCAGGGGCAGCTGCCCCCACTTTGGGTGCCTTTTCAGATGTGTTGAGATGACGTGATTGCAAGACATTTATCTGTGTGCAAAACACTGAGCTGCCCTGGCATAAAGGAGGATGCGCTTTCGAAAACAAATAATTATTACTCTATACACATTACCGTCACATTTTCTTACAGGCATGCATTTTGGCAGTACCGCAAGGACCACCCTGGCACACACGTTGGCGAGCCGCCCGCGGACGGCTTACCGGGCTTCAACAGTGGTGTCCTGCTCCTGGATTTAGTTCGTATGCGGAACTCAGCCAAATACACGGAAGCCTTGACGCCGTCTGCTGTCAAGGACTTGGCGACCCGTTTCTCGTTTCGTGGCCACCTCGGTGACCAGGACTTCTTTACGGTATTAGGGGCCGCAGAACCTCATCTGTTCCACGTGCTGCCATGCGGCTGGAACCGGCAGCTGTGCACATGGTGGCGAGACCATGGATATGCCGATGTGTTTGATAGGTACTTTGCGTGCGACCAACCGGTACGAATATACCACGGAAACTGCAACACTCCAATCCCAGATGAATAGATTCCACTTCTGAAATGACGGCAGGCAGAGACGCAAGTTTCCTCGACCTCAGCTGCACTACTCAACTGCACTTAGGGGTGGTGACCTAGCTCAGCAGTAGCGTGTTCTCCGCTTGTTCCATACGTTCAGTTCAAATCCAGCGGCCTTCCTGATTAATACTGTATTTGTATTAAACATAAACATCCTAGACTTCTTCACATTGGACGTTAAAGGTCATATGATGTCGTGCGCAAGAGTTGGAAAAATTTTTGCTGCCTTTACTCCAAATTAGAAAACGTACCTGGAAACTACTCATTTGGAATATAAATATATAGCAGTCATCACCCTCCACTTTGAAAACTTGCCAGGTTGCTCCTGAAAAGGAGTCCATTGATTGAGGCGTTCCTATGTTTACCAGAATAATAATACACTACTATAGAGAATTGTGGTATTCTTAATCTATATAAAAGGGAAATTTGTGATTGTGTATCTGTTCAAAATCTTTAGCGTACGTCCCGACATGCAACAAACTTGAAATTTGCCATGTGGGTACTTTCCAGACTGTACACCATGCAAAAATTATAAAAATAGACTTTTGTATTTTGGGGGGGGGACGGGAGGGGGGGTGCAATAATGCATATATTTTGCACAGCACGTGAGCTGTGACGTCACATCTATCATGTGACCCATGTGCGGAAGCGTAACAGTGCGCCTGCTGATCGCGGGTAAAGTGAAATACAAATGTGTTGCAGGTCTAAGGCGTTCTTCGCGCAGCATTGCTTCATTATTTCGGTCGTTTACTGCCGTATGCACCCTGAAAGTTGTGTGTGTCTGCTGCAAGCGTGTGTATGTGTACCTATGGACGCGCACGCGTTTGTGTTTGGGGAGCGGTAATGTAGTGGTTAGCGCGCTGCGCTGCGCTACGAACCCGGCGACCCGAGTTTGATTCCTGCTCAAGGCCACCACCGGTGACGATTATTTGAACCAGTCCTGGGCCTCCCCTAGGTCGACTCAGCCTCAAACGAGTAACTGGGGAGACAAAGGCGGCTGGGCATCGTGAATCCAAGTCCCGGGCGAAGCCGGGTAGTAAATCTAGTGTATATATATTTCATGCAATATTTGTGGACTCTGAAATTCATGAGGAAATTCTCAATGAAATTGTAGCTCAAGTGCTACATTTGTGCATATTCATCGATGTCATTGTATAAATCTCATATACCGTTCTGTGTTCGTATTTTTTTATTTTAATGTTGAAAATGGGTTATTAATCATGGTAACACCTGGGGTAGTTCATTAGCCTGCTTCCAAGTAATTGTAAAATGTACAAGCAGAACTGAGTCATCTTCCAGTTGAATGAAATATTTTAATGTATTGAATTTCCTTAATTTACCGAAGTGGCAAAGCAACAAATATATATTTTAGATTTTTTTAAACTATTTCATTTGACCGCAAATTACAAATGCAAACGTGTTTAACTATCATCAATGTAAAGTAGCATTCCCTGGGTAAGGATTTATAATGGCTTTACACAGCTCCTAAACTGGATTAACGTATTTTACCAAGGTTTTTGACAAATTACGGTGGTAAATATTATTTCGTTTTTTTTTATAATAAACAAACACGTGCTCTTTTGTTTACAGCTCACGAACTTCCTATTTGGAATGTGTCCGTGTTAGATGGATTGGAGCTCTGCTCGGTCCGGCACAGCGAACACCTGATTCTGATTCTTTGAGTCCAACAAGAACTCTGTCGTTCACGATCTAGAGTAAGAATACGAACAAGTGCACTCTCGTTCAGACACAGCTACCTTAACCCTTTTCCGTTGCGAGATGTCTGCAAGTTGCAGGGTGTGGGTCCCATTAATTGCTGAATCTCACAACTCGCAAACGGTTTAGTGTTCATTTTATTTAGAGAGGCGTAGCGCTGTTTTAAATACATTGTTACTCACCTCAGAAAACTGTAGCAACACGACACACTCTGATAGCTGGCAACAAACGGCCACATTCTCTTCCGCATGGCCTTGTGGGAGCATCAGTACTGATTAAGTTATTTTAGTTTTTCCTCCGGTTCCGATGACTTCATCAGTACCGATGATCCTACAAGGCCATGCGGGAGGGAATGTGGCAATTTGTTGCCAGCTATCAGAGTGCGTCGTGTTGCGACGTACACCTACGTCATCGGAACCGGAAAGGGTCAACTTGCAACAATCTCTCAAACTAAAAATGTGCCACCAGTCTTAACTTAAAATCTGCTAGTCGGGATTGAATACTGCACCCGTTAGCCTGTTGCTTGGCCTCTTCTGGACCAGAAGGCGCAGTCCATTAAAGATGTATTCATAAATGGCTGTGTTGTAAGACAAAAGGGCCTCCCTGAGAGTTTTCTGACAGACCAGGGCAGGATTTTGCTTCCCAATCGGTGGACGTATGCATGCAATATTCTAGGTACAAAAAATGTTTCAATCTCCCCATACCATTCTTCAGAGAGATGGGATGGCCGAATGACTAAACTGCCATGCCAAGTCACATGGTTATGCCAAGCAAACTGAGATGTGTGTGTCCTCGCTGTCCTTGCAGCATATTGTCTTCGCTCCACATGCAGCGCAAGAGTTCACCCCCCTTATGTATGCTTGGGATCCTACACAACCAATAAAAAACACATTTGAGCAGCATTCCCTCACAAAACAGACGTCTTGGCTGGCATCCTTCGACCATTCCTTGTCACACGGGATGAGAGACCACTCTTGCAATATCCGGCATCTGCCCAAACCACCAATTCATGAGTTTGAGCAAAAGTCATATTTGGCCTCGGCCTCGATAGTCAATGACTTAGTGTGGTTACATCCGCAGCTGCCCACTGACATCCGGTAAATTGCATAGACCAACGGCAGGACCCTGTAAGGCCGCAATGTGGTCGCTGTCATTGGTTCATCCATCCTTGACGTCTGAAATGGTATGTCCATCAGATACTTTTCAACTTTCATCATCCACATCTGGAGGTTCACCGGATTTATCCGGGGTCCCCATCCGTCGCATATCTGGCCATGAAGTTGCCAATTTCAACCAGCTCCGTTTCCTTCCATGGACCACCATAGGCGTTTTGTCGCTAATCTTCCTATAGCAGTTCCGGGATGAAGGGTCCTGCCATTGTGTTCACCTTGGGTTGGTTGTTGTGTTGTTCTCCCCCTGTGATGTCGCGTTGCGGATGTCGGACTGTACAGGGATGCTGTGGACTCCCCTAATGGAACATCTTTGCTGGTTAGAAATATTTAGGCTGGCCTGCCTATGAACCATCCTGGGTTTAACCAGGCTGGATTGTGTGAGGAGCTCACAATTCCTTTAAAGATTTGGACAAAGTCCCCATCGGTGAGCTCTGGCAGGCAAGGCTGCGTTGGCTGGGTCATGTAGCCCGCATGCCCAGCCACCACATGCCTAAACAGCTTTTGTACGGCCCGATAGAGGGGGCTAAACGGGCGTGGCACGGGCTAGAAAAGAGATGGAGTGATGTGGTACAAGAGGATGTAGAGTTGAGTGGACTTGCTGATGACTGGTACCAGCGGAGACTCGTGAAGGATGCTCCTAGGCAGTTAGAGGCAGTCGCCCTCCAGCCACAATTGAGGGCAGAGGAGCAACGCTCACAGCAATGAGCGGGGAGCCGGTCAGCTAAAACACATCAAGTTGGCACAATAGGAGGCATAGGTGGTGCATTGGCCAGTCATCTCAGTCGATCCATGGCAGAGGTCGCAAACGGGTTTTGATTCCTTATCTGTACCCGGCCACACCAGGGTCGCAAATGGGTACCCGTACCCGGCCGTACCCGTACCGTACCCGGCCGGGTACAGGTAGGGTACGGGTATCGGGTACCTTATTGCGACCTCTGGGATGAAGCCATGGTGCAGGCGGGGGTGGGTTGATTCTAGGAACTTGAATTGTGAGAAGAGACAAGACGTTGGGAAATGAGTGACAAACAGTTACTCACCAGTGACTAACGGTCTACCCGTACCTGGCCGCACCAGGGTCGCAAACGGGTACCCGTACCAATACCCATACCCTACCCAATACCCGGACGGGTACGGGTAGCCGGGTATTGGGTAGGGTATGGGTATTGGGTACCCGGTTGCGACCTCTGATCCATGGCAACTGGGTGTGCCCCGTGACCTGCCAGTGGGTGTTCGTCACTTCACGTGGCCTTAACGTGCACATAGCCTGGCAAAAGTGCCATAGTGGCGTCACACCACTTAATGGCGAATGGCGGTTGTTGTTGGGATGCTATGGAGTTCAATTATTTTTGGTTGCTGTATTATTTGTTTTATCTCTTTGTTTTTCTTTCTCCAAATCCATGTGGGTATTCGTGTTCTGTGCTATCTGTTTTACAGTTGCGTCAGGCTGGGGGCTTGGGATGAATGGTAAATGAGGCTGTTAGAGCCGAGGATGGCTTATTCTCAAAAAAGTGGGGAGGGGGTGATGTGAGGGTCATGTAAAGACACTTAACGTTAATTAATTAATTGCTCTATACTTGCTGGGAAGCAGGGCATGGTTGGGGGGTGCAAATGGGGGTGAGAGATGGGAAGACAGGATGACGAGGTTGAGGGATGGTAGGTGAGGGGGAAAGAGTGTTTGGAGGAGGAGGACATTTTAGAAGTTTCAGTAAGGAACGGGCAAAAGAGGATAAAAAGGGGACTTCGAGAGAGCTCGTGGTCTGTCAGCAGTGAAGCTTCCTACGAGCATTCTGCATGCATTGTTGTGATTGGTGGAATCGATCGTCTGGGTGAATTTTTTTATTAAAATAAATCTCCCGCGCTCTCCCCTGGCTGCTGATTGGCTGCGAGTTTGTTCATGATGAGGCTACACCGACTCCGCACAATGAATTATGCCAGAACCCTACGCGTGAAGTAGGCATACACCACAACTCCTTGCTCTATGCCTTAATGAAGCCCCACGAACCAGGGTGGTGATAGCCCCCTAGGCTGCACTGCATTTGACCTTTTCTAGCAGTCTGTGTTTTACAGCATCGTGCACTTTCAGATGCGCTTCTGCAGCCATCTGGAACACTTCCTCCCGATAATGGGCAGCCACTGGAGCTATGCACTTTTAAATCGTCTAGATTAAAAACATTTCTTTACAACGACTTTTTGTGTTTAGTTTGTCCTTCCCTCACACCTCCGATGAGCATGGTTGGCTGCATATGGTGCGAAATAAGTTCAACATCAAACGTATAATATTTCTATTCCTGCCAATGACTTAACTCCGAAAAGTATGCGTACCTTCAAGCTAACAAAGACAAAAAAGAATAATAATTTTGAATTCGTAATGTGCACAGACAGAATTAGCACCGATAATTTCCCGAGTTCTTCGGTCCTACATTTGGACGTTTGGCCAATTCCACTCATGAGTGTGTATACAAGACGAAGGAAAGCGGAGCACCCGGAGAAAACTCACGCACGCACGGGGGCTAACACTCAATCCCCGTGTGTGCATGTTGTGACCAATAGAAAATGGGAGGTGGGTTAAGGACAGGTCGGAATAACCGAGACGGAGGGTGGCAGGTGACGGAGGGACAAATGTCGCAGGTGTTTCGGCAGGAGTTGCTATGGCGGGAGTTGCTACGGGAATCAAATCCCAATTGTTGACAACGCACATGAGGTGAGGTGGGGGGAGTAGTCCACCAGGGACGTGGTGGGAGTTACTAAAGGAAGGCAGGGCCAGAGGGGAGAGATGTGACGAGATGGGCAGACTCATGATATTTATACTGCAGGAAACCGATTAGCTATGAAGCTATTTTTCACAGGGCGGGTCAGAACGTTACAACAACAATAAAAAAATTCTAGATTTGAAGCTTTCGTGACTGCAATGATTTATATTCTTAGGTTTTTTCGGTAAAGTCACGTAGGTAAAACATTAAAGTTAATAAAAATAAAATAAAATAAAAATCACGACGTTTCGGAGACAACACAAGCAAAGTATCGGAAAGGTAAACAAATCACTTAAAATATAGATATAACTAAATAATGTTTTATTTTAGCAGGTAAAGCACACTGAGGTATTAACTTTCAGTAGCGACCTGGTTATCACAAATGACAGCTTAACACGACCTAACCCAAAAAATCTCTTATCAACGAGGTGGGTTATTATCATCACGTGCAACACACAACGACGACGAAGAACGGGTGGGGTGAGTGGCGAGGCGCAGGTGGATGTCCCAGCGGCCAGGCGACGGGACTCGTCTGGGGCAAGAGTCGAGCGAGCCCCGAGAGCAGTGGTGCTTAAACTTTTTTGCAGCCTTGCACCCCTTTCGTTCTTAATCGTTAAAACATGCACCATGTTCAGTGGCGGCTCCTGCAAAATCTCTCAGGGGGGGCAAATGTCTGGATGATTGATAAGGATAAGGTCCACCCATGCAATGGATACATTAACAGCTTAAGCATGTAAAGGCAACTTCACTTCTTTAATATTAATGAAAAATAAAGTGACTCTTACAATACATCTCCTTGTTTGTTTCTATACTCACTATTAATAGAATCCACTCAAGTTTCTTTTATTAAAGATTCCACTAGGTGGCGACAAATTATATTGTTGGATGAAACGTGCTTACGTATGATGACATAAGCACGTTAGGGCGAGCCCTCCCGGAAGTCATAGAGAATGCATTGGAGCGCCCACCGTTCGAAAAAAAACATCTTTGAATGTAAGTCTATCAGGCCACTCGGGGCGATTCTCAGCCGGAGTGAAATCGCCCAAAAAGAGGCGGTACTCCACAGAACGTGACATGACGCTGATTGGACTATATCCAGAGGCACAGTGACGGCTAGCGTGACTCTGTGGTTCAATGACATTGGTGGTGCGTCGCCCAATCGCCCTAATGAAGAAACCGCCCCTGACTATGTTAATACATCGGTTTTATGAAACAATGTAGTTGTACTTACGTGCCCGTTCTTAATTTGTGTTTCGATGAGTTGCCTTCTATAAGAATCAGGCATGTCTCGTTCCCCCAGAAAGGGCATC